TTCCGGCTTCCTTTTTTTTTTCTTAGCATAAAACTACGTCTAGATATTACAAATAGGGAATTTCATTTTCCTGTACTTGGAAATTAATGTATGAACTGCGCAAATTTTATAATCTATGCTAGTACAGTTATTTATGAAACCTCTGTCACATAAATTCTTATAGCTTAAAGGTGCTACATCACTGGGTCTTTAAACACGGACACAGAACAATTTCCAAGTGGTAGACAAATAGGAAAAACTCTGAATCATTATGGGTATTAATCACATTAACATTTATGACCAGGTAACTTAATACGGCTTAACTGCACCATCTCTTTCAGCTTCAGGATTCATATTTCGTGACTCAAGTGGGTGGCCATTGTTATTTGCAGAGTTTGTTTTTTTGTTTGTTTGTTTTGCATCTCAAACCACTCCAAATCTCAGTGGCTAAAAATGATAACTATGTATTTAGTGCACGGTTCTGTAGGCTGAGTTCCGCTGAGCAGTTCTTGTGTCTCGGCTGTGCTCGCTTACATGTCTGATGACTGGCTGGCTGTTGGCCGGGCACATAGTTCTCCTTGGGTATAGGAGAATCTAGCTCAGTCTTGCTCATCTGATGGTTACCAAGGTTTCCAGAACATGAGAGTGGAAGCCTTATAGCTCCTGGAGCCCTTGGCTTGAGACATGACTATCACCACTTGTGTCCCTTCTGTTGGTCAAGTGACAGGCTAGCCCGGGATGGAAAACAGATCCATCTCTTGATGGGAGGAACCAAGAATTGGGGTCATTTTTGCAATCGAGCAAAATGTATTAATAATAAAGTGCTTTCCATCGCTAGTAAGAATTATGGCTGAATGCTAACAGATACGTAGGAAGCCAAATTGACCCTAAGCTACTGTGTTTTCCCATGATTTCTTATTTTGCCAGCATTTTGTTCGATGGATGAACTGCAGCTGCATCGAATGCCCCCCTCAGAAGGGGGAGGAGGAGGAAGTTGTTACAGTAAGCTTTTACAACGACATTGCCCTGAACCCTCAGATAATTGAACAAGCTGTTATGATCCCCCAAAACGTCCACAGGATTCTGGTCAACCTCATGAAGTACCTACAGAAATGGAAGCGGTACCGACCTCTTTGGAAACTGGACAAAGCCATTGTGATGGAGAAATTTGCCGCCAAGAAACCTCCTTGTGTAGCGTACGATGAAAAGTTGCAGTTCTACTCCAAGATTGCCTATGAAGTTATGCGGCACCCTTTAGTTAAGGATGAGCACTGCATTAGGCTTCAGCTTGGGCCTCTGGCAAACACGGTGCAGGAAAATGCCAAGTCCTGGGTGGTTTCGCTTGGAAAACTTCTCAGTGAGTCAGCAAAGGAGGAACTCTACAACCTTCATGAAGAGATAGAGGTAACGGCGTCACCGGGTTTAATTCAGACTGCTTTGCATGAAAGTCAGGTCTCCATGTGGTACTGGTTTTTTTTCCTGTGTTTATTTTGTGTCCTTCAAACTTTCTTTTACAGAACCTGACCAGAAGCCTGAAGAAGAGCCCCAATACCCTTGAGGACCTCAAGTTTGTCCTTGCAACAATTGCAGAAATTAAAAGCAAATCTTTAGTCATGGAACTGAAATACAGGGATATTCAGGAAAGACATCGCACCATGGCCATGTATAACCTCTACGTAAGTGAGCTGACTGCTTCCGCATTTTATGGCTGGGTCAAATACTAAGACCCATTCAGAAATACTTCTCAGGTATACGGCCATAGATTTACTCATGACTTCAAGTAATAAACTTTACATGTGAAGCCTCTCCATAATTATTCAGAATAATGAAGACTTAGAGGTTATTTTTTGATCTTGCAATGGCTCGAATAATTTTATTTGTAGACTGATCCATAACTGCACACCATTGCAGTTCTCCCTCTTCCGGGTTTTTTTTCCCCCTTTTTTCTTTTTTTTGGTGTTGATTTCTTTTAATAAGTAAAGGACTGTTGTAAAAATGATGACAGAGAGAGAGAGAGAGAGAGAGAGAGAGAGAGAGAGAGAGNGTGTATTTTTCTTTTTTCTTTTATGGGTCAAACCTCTGGACCAAGCTAGGAACCCTGTCTCAGGGCCTGGCTAGGAAACCCTGGGAAAAGACGTCCCACAGGCATGGGGGAGGCTAGACCGAGTTCCCCAGCTGGATGCCTCCTGGACCCCAGGCTCTCTTTCTTTGGTTGCTGCAGGTACATTTTGTTTGATGGCGACGTGGACGCCCTGTGGGTAGAAAACATGAATTCGGTGATGGACGACAACAAGCTGTTGACGTTGGCCAACGGCGAGCGCATTCGGCTTCAGGCTCACTGTGCGCTGCTTTTTGAGGCAAGTGGGGATGGAAAGTCACTTCGGACACAAGCCGTTCTTTCAGTTACACTTTGAAGCGTTTATTAAAGTAGGAGTAAATACAGGTGACTACAGGCAACGCAAACAGGGCAGAAGAGTTGACGGTGAGTCCAGCTCTGTGTTCTCTGCCTGCCTCCCGCATCCTTCTTCACCATATCCCAGAGGCAACTGCTTCCCACTCTTGAGCTGTTTCTTCTGATGGCCGCCCTCGTAACGCCAGGTGATGCACGTAGCAGCATGCTGTTTCTTCCTTCGGCAAGCCTATACGTTATCGAGTGACTGACTGCTATGCAAGTGAGGGCTCGTGTCTTTTTAAAATATATATTTATTAATTTTTTTCAAGTACGGTGGACATTCAATATTATTTTATGTTAGTTTGAGGTGTACAGCATAGTGGTTAGACTTTTATATGACATACGCAATGATCTCTCCGATTAGTCTAGTTCCCACCTGGCATCACACATAGTTGTTGCAACATTATTGACTATGTTCCCTGTGCTGTACTTTACATCCCGTGACTATTTTGCAACTACCAATTTGTACTTCTTAATCCTTTCACCTTTTTCACCCAGCTCCCTATCCCCTCTCCCTCTGGCAACCATCAGTGTGTTCTCTGTATCTACGAGTCTGTTTCTGTTTTGTTTGTTCATTTATTTTGTTCTTTAGATTTCACATATAAGTGAGATCATATGGTATTTGTCTTTATCTGTCTGACATATGTCACTTAACATAATACATGAGGGCTCATGTCTTATGCCACCAGCCCACTTCCCCGCCTNTAAAGACTGGTAATTCCACATTTGTCTTCCCAGGTGGCTCCTGCAGGTAAAATGATAGTTTATGTACCATGTTCGTGATTTCTTGTTCAATTTTGTATACCTTATTAGGTATTTATTGGTCTGTTTATCACTTAATAGGAATAGAACTTTTAGCCACTTTTGAAAGAGAGCTGATAAGACATGAGAAGAACCGTCAGGAGCTGGCTAACGCAGAGAAACTTTTTGATCTCCCAATTACAATGTACCCAGAGCTGCTCAAAGTGCAGAAGGAAATGAGCGGGCTGAAGCTGATTTACAAGCTGTACAAAGACCTGAAGGTACGTGGCCCCAGCAGACTTGGTGTCACTGGTGGGAGCACAAGAACTGTGTGGCCAGCGGACCTCGCTGCTGCTGTAGTGCAGAGCTGTGCCAGGGGCACAGAAACTCTGAGCTTGGCTCTTGGGGAGAGGGAGTGACGGCTAACAGGGACGGGGCTTCCGTTTGGGATGGTGAGAACATTGTGGAGCTAGATAGAAGTGATGGTGGCACAACGATGTGAATGTACTTGGTACCACTGAACTGTGTGCTCAAAAATGGTTCAGATGGCAAATGTTATATGTATTTGAAAACAACAATAAAAAAGAAAACTGTCTCTGGAGGTCAAGACTTCGTTAAGGTGTAGGATGAACTATTTAGTTGGAAGTGGAAATTAAAAGTAGCAAATATGTCATTTAGATGCCTCTCTTTAGTATTTATTCCCCATGCAAATTCATGCCATTCATTCCAGCATCTATTCACTTGGTTCTTTATAGCCAGGTGCTATGCTGGTTGGACAGTAGAGATGAGTACCATCGACTCTCACCATCCCTGCCCTTTGCGAGCCCCCAGAGAGACTGATAGTTATTAGTCTGGATTCTCCAGAGAAACAACCAATAGGAACCAAAGAGATCGATTATAAGGAATCGGCCCATGCATTACGGAGGCCGAGAGGCCCCAGAATCCTTAGTTGGCAAGGTGGGGCTGCAGGAGAGCCGGTGGTGGTCTCATCCGAGTGCGAGCTCGAAGCTGATGGCCCCACTCGAAGTCAGGCAGGACGCACATGAGTTTGCCCCTGCTCAGCGTCTTGCTCTATCAGGCCTCAGTGCACGGGCTGAGGCCCGCCCGCAGCAGGGAGGACCATCTGCTGTATTCAGTCCGCTGATCTAAATGTGAATCTCACCCAGAAACCCCTCAGGACACGCCCAGAGTAAAGTCTAACCATGGCCCAGTCAAGTTGACACCTAAAATGAGCCCTCCCATGGACGCACGAACACCTCACCATGCTGCCATGAAATGTCATAGGGTGAGGTGCCCAGAGCACTGGAGCCCTGAAGGGGGAAGGTGGTGTCTCGGGGAGGTGGCATTCCAGCAAGGCTGTGAGTTGGGAGCAGGGTGGGCCTGGTGCGGCCCCTAGATTTGGGCCCCCCTACTCCAGCACCACCTCAGCTAATTCCATCTGCAATGACCTTATTCTGAATAAGGTCACATTCTGAGGTTCCAGGTCGATATGACTTTGGGGAGACACTGTTGAGCCTGGTATGACTAGGTGTGGGGTACATAGGGGAGAGGAACAGGACTGAGCCTGGGGTGCACCATCAATTCAAGGTGGCTGTGGGTAGATGGGTGGAAATATTTGAGAAGAAGTGAGCTTGACCAAGGGTTAAGAAGTTGCTGCCCTGGTCAGGCTGCCCCCGCGTGTCCGAAGGGGTCTTGTTGATGGGACTTTCTCGCCCATTTCCAGCTTGCAAAAGAAGAGTGGTCTCAGACACTGTGGATCAACCTGAACGTTCAGCTTCTCCAGGAAGGAATCGAAGGTTTTCTCAAGGCCCTCAGAAAGCTGCCCTGGCAGATCCGAAGCTTGTCAGTGGCCCACTACTTGGAAGCAAAGATGAAGGCGTTCAAAGACTCGATTCCTCTACTTCTTGACTTGAAGCACGAGGCACTTCGGGACAGGTTTGTCTCGTCCTCTGGGAGCCACTGTGAAAGTGTGGGTGGAGCTTGCAGTTTAAAATTGGTCTTTGCTTAGCTTTGACGACCGAGAACAAGGTCTCAGGAGCGATGCAGGGCGAGTCCTATTTCCACAGTCTTGTTTCTGTGTGAACTTTTTGTCAAATGATCGACCACAAGGATCCTCCTGTTTTTTTGTGTTTTTTTTTTAAAAACAACCCTGTCCGTTGTGAAGTATCACTTGCAGTTGCTTCGTTCAAAGGCTTCTTGTTTTTTATTTAAATTTAACAAGAGGTCCAGATCAGTGCCGTACAGCAGAAACATACAACCCACATACGTCATTTAAAATTTTCAAGCAGCTGTGTTGAAAAAGTAAAAACAGGTGAAATTAATTTTAATACTATATTTTAACCCAATATACAGAAAATAGTATTGCGTCAACATGTAATCAATATAAAACGTTCTCCACAAGGTATTTTGCATTCTTCTTAAAAAAATACAGGGCAGCCTGGTGTGTGTGTTACACTTAAAGCCTATTTCAGTTTGGACTCACCACATTTCACATGCTCAGTAGCCACACGTGATGAGTAGCTGCTGGATTGGACAGAGGAGGCCTCGCGAGTTTTTTTAATGGAATAATAGCCAGGTCTCGGGGTGGTATGGAGAAGAGTCACCTGTCATTTGTCATCATTTGGACGTGGCTCCACACAGACAGGAATTCGTAGGAACTTCGTGTGTTGTGTTCTCCCTGTCATGTTCCTCTGTCCCTCCGTCATATTTCCCAGTGGGCACAGAGTCACGTCATGGCATCAAATGACTCCATTTTCCTTAGGAGAAAGGCATCCCATTTCAGTCCCCTTCCAGTCCCTCTGATCATATCAATGAGACAGCCTCTGGCAGGTGCTAATATATCTTTGACATGTCTCTGCACCCATACACTTCTCTTTCCACCAAGTGTAGGCTGCCTTTAGGCTCAGGTGACATGGATCCTAAGCCCATCTTTGTCACTGTTCTTATTGAGTCACCTGGGCACTCCCTTTTACCTGTGCAGTCTTCAGTTTTCTCACCTGTAAAACCAGGTAGAAGGAAGCATTGTCTAGCTAACTTTCCCATAACCCAGTGTTTCCGAAACGTATTTCTTACCATTTTTGTCATATCCCAGTATCACCTATACTATCATTGCTCTCTCTGCATTTTTCTATCAGCTTACTTCTTTTTTACTTAAGTGAATGTATTCTAAAAAGAAACTTACACCACCATCGTAAATGGGAAACCAAAAGCTCTTGCCATAAAAAGGAATTAATTATAAAAATACAAATTAAAAAAAAATTTGAGCTCTCCAAACTGTTGCCTGTGGCTGAGCCAGTGGCCTGCCTAGGGTGAAAGGTGAAGACCAATGAAGTGGCGTTGACAGCGGCACCAAACTGAGACTTCCTCTTTGATGTGATCAGGAGTGGAAAGGGAACTGACAGGGAATCACTTCCGTCAGGGGACTCAGCGTTGCAAACTGTGTCACCTGTGGACCCTCTGACCCTCCACAGGCCTATACTGCCCTCTACTTCATATCAGCTCCTGGGCTAGGCCCAAGCGTGGAGAGTGACAAAACAGTAGATTCTTTTTCTTGACCGTTTCTGTTTGTTTTTGTGGATTTTTACAATAAAAATGGGCGATTTGACACTTAACTGCCTGTGTGCTGGGCACCCGGCATTCTGCTGGCCCAGCACCGTGGTTAGCTGCCTTCTTACATTCATTCCACATAAATGGAACCAGAGAAATGGGTGACCCCACGGGCCAAACGCATACTTTAAAAGGGGGCCAAACAGGGTCAAGCTCAGACCTGCTCGATGTGTCTGTGTGCGTGGAGGTCTGTCCTGACCCTCCTGCCCAACGCAGACCCCCCTCACTGTCTCTGTCACTCTGCAGCTTTCTGTAGCATGCAAAACAATGGCCAGGTGTGTCATTTATAAGCAATTATTTATATATTCCAGTTATTTAATTGTTTTATCATGGACTGACAGTCTCCCCAAGTAGGTGGGACAGTTCCCGAGGGCAGGGACCTTTAGTTACCGGCCACCCCCTGCAGCTAGCCCACTGCCTGGCACAGAGTTAGCATTTGATAAATGCTTATCGAGTACATGAGAATTTGTGATTCACACCAAGGTCTCAAGCAGGCTGAATGATCCAGTAGAGGTTGAGGCCACTGGTCTAGAGACTATGGCAGAAGCAGTTTCCAAAAAATTAAGAGCTGTATGTTTTCTTAGGTGGTTGTGAAGACGAGCCATCTAAGAGAATGTCTTGCTAGATGCTGTTTCCTGGGTTAAATTCTGGCAGCTAGCCGGATTTGGGGGAATTTTGCAGATGTAATTCCAATGATGTCCTCATATTTCAGAATTCCGTTACAAGAAGTATTTATAATGGGATTGCCCTGCGATTTCAGTGGGGATCATTAAATCCACAACCAAATTCAGTCAGCGTAAAGATTTTCATGTTGATGCCCTTTCAGGCACTGGAATGAGCTTATGGAAAAAACTGGCGTGAGTTTTGAAATGACTGAAACGTTCACCTTGGAAAATATGTTTGCTATGGAACTTGACAAACATACAGACATTCTCAATGAGATTGTCACAGCAGCTGTCAAGGAGATCGCCATTGAGAAGGTAAGACTATTTTTAGTTATAAAACGGTCTAGAGAAAAAAGAGAATTTTTTTTTTTAATTCAAAGAGAAAACAGGTTTGCTCTGGTACCTGTTGTGTTTGAGTAATAAAGAACTATGTGTTCTAGAAGTAGAATTTCAGGCACTTGGTTCATTTTTTTATTGTCTTTAATTAATTATAGTTTCATTTCTGATTTATGTGTTAAAGAAATAATGGATGTTCGTGATACACAACTGAGAAAATAGATCACACATAATTCCACCACCTGAATATAATTATTACTAACATTTTAGTGTACATCCTTTAGTGTACATCCTTAAGAATGCACATACACTTGTGGACATACACATATACACACACAAAACACATATAAACATGTATACACACATATACACATGCCCACACATATGCACACACACAGATGTACACACATATAAACATAGTATACATATGCACATAAGTATCGATACAGATGTTTTTTGAAAACGTAATCATAAATAGGCTTATCATTTTATAATTCAGTTTTCCTGCTTCACAGCAGAGGAAATGCGGGCAGGGTCTCACGAGTATGCAGACTGCAGGCAGGCTACGGAACGTGCACCCTGGTTCCGGGGCCCAGCAGCTGAGTGAACTGGGCGAGCTGCTGCACCCCTCTGAGCCCCCCGCTCCTGCCTCTGTAAACGTGGGTGATAATCAACCCTGCCTCAGCAGGGGGCCTTGAGGACCGAAGGAGATCATGTACAAGCGTGCTTACGTGGCACGCAGCAAGTGCTTGCTAAACGATGACGAGGTGCCCTCCTCCCCGTGACAGAATCTCTGCCTATTCGGAACACTGACCCCAACTCTGGGTTGAGACTTGACCAAAGGCAGGCTCAGGGAGCTGCTGCTGGGTTGGGGCTCAGTTCTTTCAGCTTACGTGCCTGAACTGTGCTTCCTGTGTTCCTGCCCAGGCTGTGAAAGAGATTTTGGACACGTGGGAAAACATGAAGTTTACAGTGGTCAAGTACTACAAGGGCACCCAGGAGCGGGGCTACGTGCTGGGGTCGGTGGACGAGATCATCCAGTGCCTCGATGACAACACCTTCAACCTGCAGAGCATCTCAGGAAGCAGATTTGTGGGGCCTTTTCTGGACACGGTTCACAAGTGGGAGAAAACACTTTCTCTAATAGGGGAAGTCATTGAGGTGAGAAAAAAGACTGGGAATGGGGGCTGGGAGCCAAAGCACAGCGGGAAAGACCCCTTACAACCGTTAGGTGGGAAACAGCACTGCTTTTTTTTCTTGGTTAATTTTTTTTAAATTGACACAAAATTTACATAATGTAAAATGAACAGTTTTAAAGTGTACAACTCAGTGGCATTTAGCACATTCATCAGGCTGTGCAGACACCACCTCTGTCTAGTTCCAGAACATTTTCATCACCTCAGAAGAAAATCCCAGTCATCCCTACTCCTGCCTCACTGGAGCCTCTGCAGCCTCCAGTATGTTTTCTGTGTCAATGCTTTTGCCTATTCTGGACATTTCCTATAAATGGAATCCTACAGTATGTGGCCTTTTGTGGCTGGCTTCTTGCACTGAACCACCATGTTTTCAAAGTTCATTCATGTTGTAGCGTGTGTCAGCGCTTCACTCCTTTTTATGCCTGATTAATGCGCCATTGTGTGGATGGACCACATTTTGTTTATCCTTCATCAGTTGATGGACATTTGGGTTGTTTGCAGCTCTTGGCTGCTGTGAATGGTGCCGCTGTGAGCAACCCTGTACGATTATTTTGAGTCCCTGTTTTTTTCAGTTCCTTTAGGTCTATACCTAGGAGTGGAATGGTGGGTCCCATAGTGACCTGGCTTGAGCTTTGCATGGGCTTCTGTATGGTTTGGATCACAGGGCTCCAACCTCTGCACACAGCTAGAAGCTTTCTCCCTGTCCGGGATGGCGTGCACAGTTTTCTTGTGCATTTGAGTATGGCTGTGTATTTTAAGATATTCAGTTATACTTCCTCCATTGTCCTGTATCTTTGGGGAGGAACGTATGTGCTCACTCTGCCGTCTCACCTGGGAAGTCCTGTGACTGAGTTGATTAGATTCTGTCCCATGTGAGGGTGGAATTCTGCCACACACACCTCAGGGTGCCCATGCTGATGGTCAGATTGTGCATTCACAGATTTGGATGTTGGTTCAGAGAAAGTGGATGTACCTGGAAAGCATTTTTATCAGTGGAGATATCAGGTCACAGCTTCCAGATGAGGCGAAGAAGTTTGACAACATCGACAGAGTATTCAAGAAGGCAAGTGACGGGCTTCTATTTCAGTCATAAAAGGAGGACAGTGATTTGAGATACGGTGTATTTGCATGTAGCATTTGGTCTATTCCTAGCTTCAGAGTTTTCTCTGTCCTTGTATATGACCTCAATCTGTTCAGTAAAAATTTCCATTTGCTCTATAGCTGCTGGCATATGGCACTTTTTAATATTTGTTTATCTCTATTATAAAAGTGATACTTGCTTTAAAAAAAACAACTTGGAAAATGTAAAAGAGTAGCAAAGATGTATCTTCCATAGTTCTTTCATAGTTCCGTCAGCTAAACGTGGTCACTTTATCTGTCATGTCTCTTTTTTTCCTATGTATATAGGTTTAAAAAACACAATTATAATGATATTTTGTATGGTCTTATAATTTTCTCTTGATATAATGAGAAACATATTTCATATTTATAAAATCATCTGAGAAAATATTGTAATGCCTCGATAGAATGTTCCAGTGAGTGGCTCGACACTAGTTCAGTAGATTATTGTGTAGTAACCCAGACATCTCGTTTGAATCGGAGTTCTTTGCTTTCATAAATAATTTGCAGGCTTATGCCTAACACTTTCCACATGTAGGATGAATATCTTACGATAGGTTGTCAGAAAGTGAATTGCCCATGAAAGAGTGTGCCCATTTTGAAGTCCTTTCCAGAAAGGGTTGTGCCAGTCATCGCTGCTGCTGGTGATTAGTGGGGTGAGGGTTTTAACCCAGCCCCTTTGACCTTCAGGCCCAGTATAGCTAGTTAGTGATGCTGTTATATTCTACAGTTAAGGGCGCTCAGCTCACATTTGGGTCTCCTTTATCCATTAGAGTTTATAATTTCTTTTTATCCATTTGCATAAGCTCTTGTAAAAAATGAAACTTAAAAACACTATACCACAAATTCGTATTCACTAAAGAAGGGTTCAGAAATTATAGAAAAGCAAAAAACAAAACAAAACAAAAAACAAACAAAAACACTGGCAATCTCACTTCCAAGATAACCATTTGAACAGTTTATCATAGGTCTTTCTAGAATTTGTTTATTCCTATGTAGACATATAAATAAATAGATAGACAAGTATTTTATTTATTTTTATTTTTATTTTTTTTAGCTGAGCCATCCTGCCACCTGTTGGCAGCACAGCAGCAGCTCAGCTCAGGCTGGGAATCAAACCGGCAACCCTGTTGCTCAGAGCTCACACTCTTGAGGGAGCTCTTAACCAACTGAGCCACTCGGCTGACCCCAGTAGACAAATATTTTAGAAAAATAGAGTCATTAAAAATCCAATATGATTGGTTATTTAAAATTTCACATCTTTGACCTGTATTTCAATAGATAAACATCTAATTGAAGAAAATTGTCATGGCATGTAATTGACCAGGTTCCCTATTGTTGGACATTTAGTTATTTTCTTTCCTTCCCTTTTTTTTGCCATTATAAAAAGTGCTATAGCAAATATTCTCATCTATACAAATTGCTCATCGTGGAATTGCTGGCTTCACCCATTCAGCAAGTGTTGATTGAGGGCCTACTAGGTGCCAGGCACTGTTGTAGGTGCGTGGGGCATGTCAGTGAGTTTTATAAACGAGATAAAAGTCTCTCACCGGGGCAGCTGACATCTGAAATAAGTAAATTATATAAAGTACGTTAGAAGGTACTAAGGACATGCTCATTTAAACGTTTACCAGCTTTTGCCAGATTGGCCTCATCAAAGGCTGTGGTTCTGGGGAGTGTCAGTTCGCTGTCGTGCATGGGCCCCAGCAAGTGCCTCCCTGGGGCACAGCAGTGCTCCCACTTCCCTGGCTGACAGCTCCCCTTTCGACCTTGTCCAGATCATGGGTGAGACCTTAAAAGACCCTGTGATCAAGAGATGCTGTGAAGCCCCAAACCGCATCAGCGACTTACAACACATCAGCGAGGGCCTCGAGAAATGCCAGAAGAGCTTAAATGACTACTTAGATTCCAAGAGGAACGCCTTCCCCAGGTTCTTCTTCATTTCTGACGACGAGCTGCTCAGCATCCTGGGAAACAGTGACCCGCTCTGCGTCCAGGAGCACATGATCAAGGTTGGCCTGGGGTCTCCGGGGTGGGAGGTGGTGTGTGTGTGTGTGTGTGTGTGTGTCCGTCCCCACGTAGGCTCCGTAACTATGGTTTGTTTCATCCAAGTTCTCTTTCCAATTTGGTTCAACCCAGAAGTTGAAGAAGGAAATCAGCATTTTAAAGAAATCAGCATTTTTAAGAAATGCCGCTGGAGTTTTATTTGGAGCATAAATCTGATGACATCCACTGTCGTCTGAAATGACACCAACATTCAGCTGCTATTTGTTGCCATTTTTCCACAGTCCAAAATCCACATTTTGAAAAACTAAAAAAATACAGAAATACACAAAGACTAAAATAATAAGCAGAGAGGCAGTACAGGACGATGCTTCAGCACATGGACTCTGGAGCCACATTGCCTGGGTTCATATCCTGGCTCTACACGGATTGGCTGTGTGACTTTTGGCAAGCTGCTTAACCTCTATGGGCATTGGTTTTCTTATCTGTAAATGGGGTAACTCCAATAGTTAACCTGCTTCTGTGGGGTTTTTATAAAGATTAAATGAGTGACCATTTGTTAAGTACTTCGATCAGTGCCTACCTTACAATGTTGGCTAAATAATCTTATCTACCACCCAGAATTGACACTTGTTATCATTTGGTCATATTTTCTTTGTTTTTATTTTTATTTTTGAAATGAAAGTTGTACAGATAAAGTTGACATACTCTTTGTCCCCATTCCCATTCACAGTTCTTGCCTCATTCTCGAGAGGCAGCCACTATCATCAGTTTGTTGCAATTCCTTCTAGCCCATGTTTTCAAACGTTGACATAAACGTGTGTGTATTGTGAACAATGTTGAATGGCAGGAAGCACCAGAGAGAAAACCGCCTTTTGTGCTAGGGAACCAGGGCATGGCTGGAAATAATCGCTGGTTAGCTAATCAAAGCTCTGTGTATCAGCCTGGTGCAGGGGTTCTAAACCTTGACACTATTTACACTGTGAGCCAGGTAATTTTGTGTGTGTGTGTGTGTGTGTGTGTGTATGTGTGTGTGTGTGTGTGTGTGCCGCGCAGGTGGAGGCGGGGACTGTCCGGGGCACAGTAGGATGTTGAGTAGCACCCCTGGCCTCTACCTACTAGATGCCAGGAGCGTCCTTTTCCAGTTACGACAACCAGGAATGTCTCCAGACATTGCCCAGTGTCCCCTGGGGGCAAAGTCACCTGTGGTTTTGGACCAGTATTGAAGAGTAATTCCTCTTCTCCAAATAAATGAAGCATGAGGATCAAGTGATTTCCTCCATACTTTCCCTTTGGTTAATGCTGATTTCCTTCTTCAAGTAAGATTCATCGTTTTGATCGCATGTTTTCCTTTCTCAAAGGGGAGGCTTATATTTCTGTTTTCACTTTTACAGACACATATTTTACCGCTATAGAAAAATGTGTTGGTAGAAGCATTTTGTTCACTGGTAGTTCCTTTTGCAAACCTCTGGTTTTATTCTTTAGGGCTCATTGCCTTTCCCGCCTCCTCTCTGATTTGCAGGGTGCTTTTTCCACTTCCCTGAATTTTATTCTGATTAATAACCACGATGATAGCCAACAAACAGCAAGTGTTTAATGTGCTGGCACTGCACACGTTGTTTGATTTCACCCTTCCAGCCTCATTTTGTAAGGGCCAGAGTTATGTTTACTGCAGGCTGAGAGGAAAAGCACCTTGCCCCAGTTGCCCAACTGGACACTGGGGAAGCCAGCCTTCCGCCTCAGGTCTCTGATTCCTCGGTCCTGGGGCATTCCATCCCAGACCAGCCCTCCTCTCCTTTGTCCAGCTGGCCCTGCGTCCAGATGCCTCTCCACAGTAGCACACACTCCACAATTGCAAGTCTGTCTTTTTCTTTCTTTCTGTTTAAATCCACCACAGACCTTTGCACAGTGCAGAACAAACGGAAGTACCCAAAGTGTGTTTGTCCAGTGAACAGACAGCTGGGCGAATGGACTCCACTTCGGGTGCGTCCTGGCAGCTGTGATGTGTGCCGAGCACTGCAGGCTGCTCCATGGTTCCGGAGCTCAGTGACAGCATCCCAGGGCAGCCTCTCCCTTTCTATTGCAGATGTATGACAACATAGCGTTGCTGCGGTTTAATGACGGGGACAGTGGAGAAAAACTGGTGTCCGCCATGATTTCAGCGGAAAGGGAGGTCATGGAGTTCCGGAAGGTCATTCGGGCCGAGGGACGCGTGGAGGACTGGATGACGGCCGTTTTGAACGAAATGCGCAGGACTAACCGGCTGATTACCAAAGAGGCTATTTTTAGATACTGTGAAGACAAAAGCAGGTAAGGTCGTGAATGCAGACACGTGTTACTTCGCCATATTAATAGTCACGATGGATTAAGTTTAAGGGTTGGAGTAGCTTGAGTGGCATTCCAAATGAGATTTCCTTTCTCATAATAAGTAGCTGATACATGTCTGCCTTTAGAGCATCATCGAGTACAGTACTTCCCAAAGTGTGGTCCTTGTACCTGCAGCATGAGGGACCCTGGGAGCCTGTTAGAGACGCAAATTCCTGGGCCCCGCCCACCCAACTCTGGGGGTGGGACCCAGGGATCTGTGCTTTTGTGACACAGGGGATTTCTGAGCACATTCAAGTGTGAGAACCTGGAACCCAGTGGCCCAACAGAAACTTGGTGTTAGTAGGGTTGATTCCACCTATAGGTTAATGAGTAAAGTCTCTTCTAAAATGTTTACTACATTTCAGTGTGTCAGAAACTCACTCCTGGAGTTTTGTGCCCTGCGAGCTTTGGCACTGAGCCTAGGAGGGCTGGCTTCGTTTAACTGTGCAGTGGAACTCCAGTACACAGGAGACAACTTGTTCTGTTAGACTTGGGTGGGATTCCCGGGAAGGTCGGAGTGTAATTGGCAGGGCCCTTATGCAGACACAAAACCCTTACTATTATTATGAGAACGCTGTTCTCTTGATTTTCTACACTGCTGTTTCGATTTTGCAAACTGGAAGCGCCTATTTAAATAAATTATTAGGACAAAGCGTAATAGTTGTATGATTATGAGCCTGCTCTTTCTCAGGTTCTGTAACATTAAAAAGTTGGTTTAAATATTTATGTAATCGAGTTACGTAGCTGTATTATTCAGCGGTGTGCTGGTAAATTGGCTCTCTGAAAAGAAAAACAAAAAGCTTTGATTTAGAGTAATTTCTTTATTCCAACTAGACAAAGCACTAAGGATCAAATGNTAGATGGTTTCCTGAAGCCCGGCTGACGCCTCTTCTGTGATTTAGGCTGGGGCTGACAACAAAGCTGTACATCCTGAACCCCAAAGCCGTGAGCGTCATCGAGCTGTACGGCATCCTGGACCCCACCACCCGAGACTGGACGGACGGGGTGCTGTCGAACATCTTCAGGGAGATCAACAAGCCCACGGATAAGAAGGAGCGCAAGTGAGTGCCATGGGGCGCCGGGAGCCTGTGCCCGCGCATGCGAGCTGGCCGATGGCGTGCAGGATTGTAGTGTCGTGCCCGGGTGCCAGCAGCTTTAGAGTCAGAAGCTGAGGGTCTGCTCACGAGGTGCCAGGTGCCATCTCAGGGCTCTTCATGGGTTGTCACAATCACCCTCTTCAACTGTAATTGTCCCCAGCTCCCTCTGGAGGACGCAGAGGCCTAGAAAGCAGAAGGAACTGGTGCCAAGGCCACAGATTGGAACGTGGGCTGTCAGAGCCCCATCCCCCAAACACAGCTGCCATGCCGGGCTGCCTGTACAGCAAGGAAAGGCAGCAGAGCATCATGGAAAGTGCTGGAACCCCCTCCTGAGCTTTTTCACCTCTAGACGAGTTTGATGATGCCCGCCCTGCTCGTGTCACCACACGCTGTGGCGGCAAGGGTCCCGTGAGGCCAAGAGCAGAAATGCTTTGTTGGCAGAAACCTTTTCCAGGGTTAGTTGTTCCTGTGACACTCAGGGATGATCCTGGCCTTGTGTTCTAGTCCAACCCCATTAATAGGAATGCCTTAGATAACAAAGCCCGAAGTCACAGCTAATTCTTTTTAGCAATTCTCCCCCAATTCTGGACCAACCCACGATTTACATCGTGCTCGGTTGTCCTGTCTCTTTGACGTCCTCAGGCGTTCTTCAACGTTTACGGCCTTGATGTTCTAGAAGATTGCAGGCCAGCTGCTGTACAGAACGCCCGCAGCTTGGGTTTGTCCGATGCTCCCTCATAGTTGGAGGGAGGCTACACGTCTTTGTAGGAATTTCACAGATGTGACACGGTGTCCTCAGCGTCTCATCGGAAGCACATGATGTTGGTTTACTGTGTTATTAGTGGTTTTAACTTTGATCCGCAGGTTAAGGTGATTTCTGACATTTTCCTCTGTAGTTGATATGCAGCCTGTGGGGAGATAGCCCAAGAGTGTGTACATAGCCCATTCCTCTTCACTCAGGGACTTGAGCATTTA